ATCACAGGACACTATCTCAAACATTGGAGTGAGCTTCCCTCCAAAAAAAAAAAGAGTGAGCTCTTAAGTAATCGCTTCATGGAAACAGCTATAGTTTCCACTCTCTGAAAGGAGATTTACATATGTGGGCAACTACTGCATCCAGAGTTTGCTGAATACAAAAACATGTTCCAGTTTAGCACTGTTGAAAGGGCTAAACTATACATCTATATCAATGTGCTGATTTAATGATTCATGACAAATTTAGTTAACAAAGTCGTAATGTTGTTCTTTAGTTTACTATAAGATGTATCAAGTAAATAGTTAGCTTGGCCATACATTGTTGGTCTTCCATCATAGCATCCTCAATTTGGGCAATTACCTACCTCCTATAATTTTGTGTGAACTAAAATGACTACTTCTGGCAATCTGAGTACAATTAGCAACAAAACATAATTATGGCATAGAATGACAGGTAAGCTAATTTATGTGCAGAACGACACAATTCAACTGTAGAAGTGTATAAAGGACATACTCAATATCAGCCAAGTCATTGATTAGCTTTACACGAACATCAGATGGCATTTGTATTTTGAACACAAACCTGCACAAAAGACAGAAAATTTAGAACAATGCTACACGGGGTTCAAATTCAATGCTACACAAGAAAAAATATGAAGAATGATGAGCTAGTAGGCAGCAGGTAGTGCGTACATAGTAACCTCCCGTATGATATCAACCAAGGCCAACCCTTTTCTCATCTTCATGTCAGATATATCTAAACAGATAAGGAAACAAACATTTAGACAATGAATCCTGAATAATCAGAAGGATCATATTGACAGATGGTAGCTAAGAATACATTTGAAGCTGGTTGAAAACGGTTCATTTAATAGCCAAAATGATATCCGCTCAATATCTTTTGGCATGGGGTTTCCTGTGCAAAGATAGACAGCTTCTTCTGTCATATGTTGGGATGCCATGTGTGTTGCCTGCACATAAAAAAAAGGTAAGTCATTGTCAAAGCCATTGTAATTGGCGGATTAGTTTATAGAACAAAACAATTGATATAATGAAAAAACTACTCCATCCCAAAATTTCTAGGTTTGTCCTATTGTGTTAGGTTTGACCAAATTATAGTACAAAACATAAACATGTAGGACACCAAATTAGTATACAATGTACTTATTTGGTTTCATAGATGTTAATTGTTTTTCTATAAACTTGGTCAAAATTAAAATAGTTTGACCTCAGACAAACCCAAAAGTGGCTAAATTTTGGGAGAGTTAGCATGTTTTATGGTTCATCTCAATTTTGAACTTAGTAATAGCTAACATTGAAAGAATAGCATTAGTCAAATACTTGAAATACACACAACAGTTATGCAAATCAGAATGTATGATTTGTTCAGATCTAAAACATCAACATTTTTGTGCCTTGTTTTAACTTGCTCCCACATGTGCAGAACTTCTATATCTTTAAATTACTAGATATCAAAACTCCTGGTCAAAAACAGTTGGGTCAAATGCACAGCATGACAGCACTTAAGGGATAACCTGCAATATATTCAAAGCCTTCCTCATATCACCATTGCTTAACCGCACTAGGGCTGTCAAGCCACCCTCATCTACACTGAGCCTGCAAGTACATGCAAAAATTAACATTTCAGATAGGACCAGAATCCTATGCCAGTATAGTATACCACAATGTGAAGATTGCAAAGCATGATATAACGGAACAAAATATAAGTGAGTTCCCAAGTGACACAAAATAATTATTGAGAATTCTTATATAATCTTAGAAGGAAAACAAGTGCTTACCCCTCAGATTTTATTATATGTTGAAGACGCTCTCTAACATGACTGCCGTCTAGTGGAGCAAATCTAAACCTAGTGCACCTTGATTGTAGTGCAGGGATAATTTTGTTGACATGGTTGCAAATGAGTGCAAACCTTGTGCTCCTTGTATACTTCTCAATGACTGCAAGGAGGGGCAGATTATATAGATGTAAGGAAGAAAATGCACAGCAATATCATGGCAATGACCAAAGTAAAGTTTTAACAACAGAAACACCTCTTCGCAATGCAAATTGTGCATCCTTTGTCATTGCATCTGCTTCATCCAAGAGGACCAACTTAACAGAAGGCCTTGCTCTGTAGAAATTTAAATAGAAGGCAAAATTACTTGATTGTATATCAAGTCTGAAAGACTCCCTACCAAAAGAAAAAAAAAAGTTGCACGACTTAATGCATACCCAAAAGAGAGGCTGCGTGCGCCAGCGAAATCCTGGATCTGCTGCCTGACAACATTAATACCACGTTCATCTGATGCATTGAGCTCCAGGATCATGTTGCTATACTGAGACCCATATAGCTTCCTCGCAACAGCCAGAATCGTCGATGTTTTCCCAGTGCCAGGTGGCCCGTATAGCAACAAGTGTGGAAGTCTATTCTCATTTGTAAGCCTGTCAACTACAAGAAGAAAATGGCAATCATCAGCTTACCTCATACATATGCCACAGTCACAAACAGCACAGTTGCAAAGAATTTAGTAGCCAATACTGTAACAAGTTATAGCTCAGGAATCACACAATATGTGGTGGCGGAGATAGACATAAATTCAGGGCCAAGAGTCAACCCACATACAGGTTATACGAGACACAAAGAATAGCATAATAATGCGTTAAGAAAATCACGGTAACGTATCGACCATGCCCCCGTGAGTTAGCGTTCACTGGAACACAAATCTAATAGAACCCCACCCAAATCCTTCCTAAAACCCTAAACCTCACAGCAGGCATCGGACGAGCACAACGGCCGCGGCCACTTACTGGTGTCGACGATGTCGCGGTGGGCGGCGACGTCGGCGAGGGACTGGGGCCGGTACTTCTCTACCCAGGGCGCAGCCCTGCCGCCGGCGGAGAGCGGCGCCTTGCCCTTGGCCGCCGCCCCGGGCGGCGGGGGAGGCGGCGCGGCGGCGTCGATGTCCATGGGAGCGACGGCGGTGGTTCCCGCCATGGCGGAGGGGAAACCCTAGTGCTGGCTGGCGGGATTTGGGGGGAATGGTTGGCGCCAATTCGAAACCCTCTCGCTCTAGGACGGCTTGGCCTTGGCGAGTGAGAGAGAGGTCGGAGTGGTCAGACGTCAGCGCGCGCCGCGCTGCGGCCGGCCGTAGGCTCAGGAGTATGGTAGCTGGAAGAAGGCCGATACGAGAGACATTAACCCAGCCCATCTTATCAAAAAACAAAAGCCCATGTGAAACTGTATATGGAGTCTATCGTTGATGGGCTTTTTGTCAGGACTGATGGTGTTTCTCCTGGACTGTATTGTATCCATAATTCCATATGTACTTTTAGTAATAGAAATTAAGTGGCATTTCTGTAGAATTATTAATTCTGCAATCACGATGCTTATTTCTGTACTTCTAATATCCGATTATGAAAATACCTGTCATGCTCAATGGACGGTTTATAATGGAGTAATAGTACCAAGGTAGGAGTTTTTCCTCTTAGTAAAACTACGGCAATGAACAACCGTAGTGGACGATCATCTGGGGAATAGAACAATCATACACGGGAGACCTGAAAGTAGCACTTAACAAAAGAATTTGGATTCTGGAATAGTAGGGTCTTTTTGGTTTGGGGTTTTGGGTGGCATGTGTGGTAAGCTGGTAGCTCAAGCCCCACACAGTGATTAGCTCAGAAAGCTCCTTTAGTCATCTATCAGCGGCCGAAAGCAGAGAAATAAAGTGCAAGGTTCCTGTCTTGTTGCCGAAAGCCAGGACTAAGATTCCACATCTCTACGTCTTGAAATTCTCCATCGTCTAGATCCGGTAAACGGTTGCAACTGGTGGTTACCTTATGTATGTCAACAACTCTTGTTGGTCTTTTCATCTTTTATCCTCTTCAACGACACGCTCTCCATTTTGACGAGACGTCTCAATACGTCCATTTTTTTAATACGTAAAAGATTTACACATCATTTTAATTAAGAGGAAGAGTTTAGCGATGTACTCTAACGAGCGTCCTAGGAGGTCTGAACCTTCCTAGTATACAAATTCGAAATTCAATATTACATAAATGGTACAACTGAGCTGCGGTCTGCGTGCTCCTGCTCCGTCATCTGAGAAGAGCGCGCGTGGGTACGAGCGATATGTCCATTTTGTCTGGTCGTGGTAATAACTTTTGCTCCTTTTTTAACGGAAAAAAGAGTGCTTCAATTTCAATGTTACATGTTCACGTTCTGAAGTCAGGCATCTAAAATATAGGAAATGTGAAGAAAAAAAATATGCATGCACGGCATGTTGTAAACAAAGAAAAGAGGCTCTTACAAGTCTTTTTCTAGAAAAAAAAAAGATATTCTTATAAGTGGGGCGTATAAAATAAAGTCGTTTGCTAGCACCAGAATGTAGAACGTAGTATATATACTCCCTCTGTTCCTAAAAGAATGCAATTCTAGAACTGTGTCACGTATTAGTATATCAATTTTGATCAATTATAGATAAAAAGTATAAATATTATTACATTAATTACAAAATGTATTTTTATAATAAATTAATTTAGAGTCATAAATGTAAATACTATTTATTAAAAATTTAGTCAAACGTGAACCACTTTACGTGGCACGTAATCATGGTTATATTCTTTCTGGACAGAGGTACTACTACTATAAGGCTCAAGGAGTATACAGGACTTGACAGATGCAAGAATTTTCTGCCATTTTCGTTATTATTATTCAGTATCGATCATCATTACAGTAATTACATTATATACTACTATTGATCACAGTCCGTGTAGATGTACTAACTGACAATCTGTCCATCGAAATAAATCCGCTCTAAATACGTATACGTAGCTAGCTAGCAAGTGTGTGTCTCGAAATCACACCGCCCCCACTGCTAGCAGGAGCATCCTACTAGATGCTAGCTGGTGATTCTTCCCCATCTCCGGCGCGCGCGCGATCGAGCAGCACTGCAAGAAGCTGGTGACGCATGCAGCCTGCAAGCCTTGGACTGAGCTCTGCTCACCGGCGTTTGACCAGCGGGAACCACAGGTCCTGGAAGCAGGACTGGTAGGAGACGAGGAGCAGCACGAGGGCGAGCGCGAGCGCCACGCCCCACGGCGACGACGACGGCCCCGAGCCGCCGTCCCTCTGGTGGTGCTGGCCGCCCCATCCGCCGCCGGCGTACAAGGAGGGCTGGTCCCCGACCAGCAGCGACGAGAGGGCGCCGCCTCGCGGCCGCCGCGACCCGGCCGTGGCCGCCCAGTACTGGACCGCGAGCAGGAGCAGCAGCGGGGACAGCACGATGGCGAACCGGACCTGCTCCACCAGGCTCTCCACCGCGGACTCGTAGCGCGAGTAGAGCGACGTGGCGCCCAGCACCACGACGGTGCCCAGGAACACGAGGAGGTGGAACGGCGCCGCCGAGCCGCCGTACCCCGCGCTCTGGTCGTAGTAGTAGCCGCCGCTCGCCATGCTAGCTGTTCGATCAGTTGTGTTCGTGCACCGTGCGCGCGTGTGGTGTGTCCGTGTGTGTGCCAGTGAGCGTGCCGAGCAGGCTGAGAAGGGAGCAGTATATATGGGCAGAGAAGGGGAAGGGGGAGTCTGCAGGCACCGAGCTGCGCTTTACTTGGGACGGGAGGACTCCGCGATGCGGGCCAAGGGGTGAACGCGACGCGACACGGAGCCAACCGCTCGGGGACGCGTGCCCTGCAGCCGATCAGGCGCCGACGGATGGAGCCGGGCTGGCGGCCGTCACAGGGCTTGGAATCTGGGAAGCGCGAGCGCTGGCGCGGCGCTCAAGTCCACGAGGCGGCAGGCGCCGACCGACTGACGGATGGAACAGGGCGTTCAGGGTGAGTGGTTGATGGCTTGGAAAGCACTGCTCACACGTCGGCGCGAGCGATTGATTCCCAAGCCTGATCTGGCCGGCTGTGGTCTGTCTTGAGAATCACGGGCTCACGGCGGACGTGCGATGCAAAGGGTTTCTTGTGTTGACCACTTGGTCCGTCCGCTCGCGCACATTTTGGTATTTGGACCGCTGATCACTGGCCTTCCAGTTCTGCATCAGATATTTTTGACTAATTTGAAGTATTAAACATAAACTAATTATAAAACTAACTACACAGATGAATATTAATTTGCCATGCTACAGTAATCTAATAGATTCATCTCGCAAATTAGTCTCAATCTATGCAATTAACTTTATAATTAACTTATGTTTAATCCTTCTAATTAACATCCGAACGTCCTATGTGTTAGGGTTCCTAGATCCAAACACCCCCCTAACGCCAGAGAACCAAAACGTACTTCAAGGTTAGGCTAGTCGAGACCAGAACGTTGCATTGCATCGTCACATAAAAAGACCAAAAACAAGCATAACTGGTAAGAATATGAAGCATAAAAGTAAGGGCGGGCAGGCAGGCAATACACAGTATTGATGATGTTGAAACGAAAGTGTTCTGATACAACAGAACTCACACTTCATGGCATATTCACATTGTTATCCTTTCAATATCCAAGATCAGGATGAGCAGACTAATACATGTTAGATATTTGAGTGGGCATCAGAAGCCCGTCAGATTTCTAAACATTTGTCCATTGTTTCTTCAAACCCAGATTATGTGCCTGAAGAACCCAAAATGCCGCTCTAGCATCAATAGAAAGCTCTAGGCACAGTCAGGCAAGGCACTACTGGCATATTTATCACGCGGAGAATATACAGAATGAGACACTAATTCATGCTAAGAAACAGAAAACCCAATACGAAAAACTTACATACAGAAAACCCACACCCAAGCCAAGCAGATTTTTCATGATTAGATATCTTAAATGTCGAGGTCACGAGCCATCATGTTTGGCCTCTGGATCCTCATGGTCATAACCCTGGGACTTCTTCAGTTTTGCTACTAGAACCCACATGTTGGCAAGCTCACTTTCCAGGAAGGCTTCCTTCTGCTTTGACTCCTCGACTTTCCTTTGGAGCTCTGCTTCTTTTTGCTCCTTCTCCATAAGCATGGTCTCTAGAGCTTTTTCCCTTTCATGGCTTGCATTCGTGTCTCTTCTGCTAGCAGGCTCGTGTCGCCTGCTCATGCTTTCCCTCCTAGTACCTCTTGGTCCATTGCTAACTCTGCGTGGAGCTGGAGTCGGACTTCTCAGCGATGACAACTCGGTCGCAAGCTTCTCATTTTGGTTCATCAGTTTGGTCACTTCTTCTGACAATGCTTTCAATTCGACACCAGCAGCTGAAGCCAAGCCTTTTGCATATGTACTTTCCTCCAGTAGCTTTTGATTGCGATCCTCAAGTTGAGCTTTGATTTCAATGAGTTCAGACACCCTTTGCTTCAGCTCATTGATTTCAACTGACTAAAGACCATAGTGCCAATAAGATGGAAAAGTTAGCTAAAAAAAATAAGAATGAAAATATAAAAATGCTACTCCCTCCATTTAAAATATATGACGTTTAAGACAAGTTAATTAGTTCACTTTTCACTAATTAGCTTGGCCTACACGCCCTATACTTACAAACTAGGGGATAGACACAGCAATATAGAATGCAAAATTTTCATATGATATTGGGCCTATTTGAACATCACAGATACTAGTAACACCAAAGAATGTTTTCATAATCTACTATTTGCAAACATGGTAATTGTTTCACTGAAGTGGATGACCACAAAAATGTGGATTAAATACTGCCTATTTCAACAAATTCACCACAGGATAGAAGACAATAGAAAATTTCAGTGAAAAAGTGTTTGCTTCTGTTTTATACCTTAAATAAAGTTATAGTTTTTATAAGCATGCAGCCACTAAAACTAACAGCAGCCAAGCAGCGTTCATGGAAGTTTGCATATATAGTGCTAACAAGTCTTTAGTGTTTATGATTAATAATCCTTACATGTATACTTTGAATATTGAGTGTTAATGAAGCCATAATATGGCCCAACCACAAATACAATGGCTAACTGCAAATTCCGTTTTTTTCGTGTACAGATATAATCCCTAGGATCCAGTTATTAAGGAAGTGGAAACTAGGGCACAGAAAGCAAACCTGCTGCAGTTTTTGCTGTGGTTCAGAAGAGATCTCTCTTGGAACGTATTGATCAGCATGGTGTTCAACTTCATGGTTAACTCTATTATTCTGTGTCATGCTATTCGACAGTAAATCCTTAGCTTCAAGAGCTTGGGACAGCTGTTCTTTGAGATGAGTAACTTCAGCTTGCAATTCCATGCATTCACCTATCTGATAGCAGAAGTAATTCAAAGAAGTGTCATAAATTGACCGTAATCATTTCACCATTCATCTAAAACAATCTTGCACATCTAACCTTCTCATTCAGCTGATCTTGTATCACTCTATTATCTGCAGCCTTCACCTGCAATAAGAAATATTTAATGATAACCAAACACCAATCGAATGAAAAGACCAAGAAATATAATTGGATTATTGCAATCACGTGTTTTTTACAATAAAATGAAATAAAAAAAGGGTAATTGATGGCGGACTAAATTCAGAACAATTTGAAAGGCATACTAATTTTCAATTTTAAGGTGAGCCATACTGATAAAATTTTGAGTGTCTTGTATCAATGAAATGTCAGATATGCATGCAACATGAACATACAACATAGTGATGAAATTTCTTCATAAATCTTAAATTTCTTATGGCATGTCATCAATGTCTCAAAAAAGGTGTTAACTATTGAAATTGGTACGCATTTTTCCTACTTGTGACCTCAAGTACGCAATTTAAATTTCTTATATCAGTTTCAGTCCAGGGGTAGTTGAGCAAGGCAGACTTTATATCAATACCTCAAGTTCGAAAGATTTATCATTGAGCTGCTCAAGTAGTTCATGATAAGACTGCAAAAATCAATAAGAACCATCCAATTGTTAAAGAGAAATGCTCAGTAAAGAGATAGCACAGAACCAAAACAAATATAGAACATTACCGGTGAAAGCTCTAACTTGTCAACCTTTCCTTGAGTTCCTAATGTTGCATGAGCTATCTCTCTCTCCAAAGATGCTATCTGCTTCTGCTTCACCTTAATTTCATCAGTCTTCTTCTTCATTTCCATCTTTGAATACCAAAAATGGTAAAAGGTTACAATATCAAAGAAAGCTTGTAAAAGCACACAACACTAGCTAAGACCGTAAGAGAGTACCTGAATCTTCTCGTTCTTTGGGCTTCTTCCAGCTTCCTCTGTAAGGCGCTTAAGAGCACTTTTATTAAATGCAACCTCCCCAGACAAAATTTTCAACTGCTCTCTCAACAAATCAACATGGTCCATCGTTTTTCCACTGGCCTGGTACCCCATCAAATATTACAGCATGTCAGTAAAGAAACCTATTGAAACAAAAAAATGCATATATATCTGGTCTCATTGGATCCTGAGCAGGGCAACACTATCTCAATGTTGACAGTGAGACAATTAACAGTTTCATTTATGCAATCTATAAACTCCTAAGCCAGTCCAGTAACTGCAAAGACTAGGATCTGCTGATATCTTAATATTCTAATATAGCTATAAAGAACAGTAAATACTATGGTAGTAGAAAAAATATCCTGACAAATGTGGCATAAATTTAGAACAGTAACTGAGAAGTCGCAATAATTGGCCTTTCCAAGACAAAACTATGCTTCTGAACATCTTTTTTCTTCTCTAAACTCACTAGTGATACAGCAATTCTTATTCTTGGAACTGCTATGTACCATCTGATAAAAAGAAACATACCAAAGGAGTTCCTTCGCCATGAATGCTGCCAGAAGGAAATTCCCCATGACCAATGCTAAACAGATCAGCTGATACATTCTCACCAGCTAATGAATTAGATATTCTTGGTTCAGCAGGAAATTTGACGCTTTCCCCAATAGGTGTTGAAGGAGCGGTTGATTTAGTCAAACTGGACTTATCACCTTCTGAACTTGTCAGAATAGAAGCTCCATCACGTTTCTGAAAATCAGTGTAGCACATGTATTGATTGCTTTTAAATTTAAAACCAGGAATCAACATAAGAACTTCTATGGAGCGTCCAAAAAGTTGCGTTTATGGAGTATTGACACGCACACAAGCTGCAATGTAGTGGAAAGCTGGCATACCCGGAGTTTGAACCAGTTAAGAAGTCCTTTCCTATTCTTTTTTTCTTCCTTCGAAGAATCTTCAAGTGATACACCAAACCCTTCGACAGGAAGAAGTAATTCATTTCTTTCATTGTCCATCATTATATCTCGTCTTCTATACGGAAGGTATGCCAGCTGCAAAATTAGCAGGCAAACTTTAGCAACTCTATGTTTGATACAGAAACACTGGTAAGGCATGGACAGAGAATTATATACAGAAGTTAGTTGAATGCTCCCCATCATCATTTCGTAAGTGTATATATAGACAAACCTCCTCTTCCCCAAAAGAATGTCTTCGTCTTGGTCCAGGATGTGGAGAAAATCTGGAAGTCGGAGTCGTCTTAGTAGAAAC